ACAACCACCCAACCACCCAACCACCCAACCACACAACACACAACCACCCAGCCACACAACCACACAACCACCCAACCACACAACCACCCACCACCCAACCACCCACCACCCAACCACACAACCACCCAACCCCCAACCACCCAACCACCCAACCACACAACCACCCAACCACACAACCACACAACCACACAACCACACAACCACCCAACCACCCAACCACCCAACCCCCAACCACACAACCACAACCACACCCAACCACCCAACCACCCAACACCCAACCACCCAACCACCCAACCACACAACCACACACCCAACCACCCAACCACACAACCACCCAACCACCCAACCCCCCAACCACAACCACCCACACCACCCAACCACCCAACCACACACCACACAACCACCCAACCACCCAGCCCACACAACCACACAACCACACAACCACCACCACACAAACCACCCAACCACCCAACCACACAACCACCCAACCACCCAACCACCCAACCACACAACCACACAACCACCCAACCACCCAACCACACAACCACCCAACCACCCAACCACACAACCACCCAACCACCCAACCACACAACCACCCAACCACCCAACCACCCAACCACCCAACCACACAACCACCCAACCACCCAACCACCCACCACCACCACCCAACCACCCAACCACACCCAACCACACAACCACCCAACCACACACAACCCACAACCACACAACCACCCAACCACCCAACCACACAACCACCCAACCACCCAACCACACACCACCCACCCCCAACCACCCAACCACACAACCACCCAACCACCCAACCACCCACACACAACCACCCAACCACACAACCACACAACCACCCAACCACCCAACCACACAACCACACAACCACACAACCACCCAACCACCCAACCACCCAACCACACAACCACCAACCACCCAACCACCCAACCACACAACCACACAACCACCCAACCACCCAACCACACAACCACCCAACCACCCAACCACACCCAACCACCCAACCACCCAACCACCCAACCACCCAACCACCCAACCACCCAACCACACAACCACCCAACCACCCAACCACCCAACCACACAACCACCCAACCACCCAACCACCCAACCACCCAACCACCCAACCACACAACCACACAACCACCCAACCACCCACCACTCAACCACACAACCACCCAACCACCCAACCACTACAACCACCAACCACCCAACCACCCAACCACACAACCACCCAACCACCAACCACCCAACCACACAACCACCCAACCACCCAACCACACAACCACACAACCACCCAACCACCAACCACACAACCACCCAACCACACAACCACACCACCACAACCACCCAACCACAACAACCACACAACCACACAACCACAACCCCAACCACCCAACACCCAACCACCCAACCACACAACCACACAACTACACAACCACCCAACCACACAACCACCAACCACCCAACCCACCCAACCACACAACCACACACCACCCAACCACACCACACAACCACCCAACCACACAACCACCCAACCACACAACCACCCAACCACACAACCACCCAACCACCCAACCACACAACACCCAACCACCCAACCACCCAACCCACACCACACAACCACACAACCACACAACCACACAACCACACAGCCACACAACCACACAACCACACAACCACACAGCCACACCACCACCCAGCCACACAACCACCCAACCACACAACCACCCAACCACACAACCACACAACCACACAACCACCCAACCACACAACCACCAACCACACAACCACCCACACCCAACCACACAACCACACAACCACCCAACCACACAACCACCCAACCACACAACCACACAACCACCCAACCACACAACCACACAACCACCCAGCCACACAACCACACAACCACCCAACCACACAACCACACAACCACCCAACCACCCAACCACACAACCACCCAACCACCCAACCACACAACCACCCAACCACACAACCACCCAACCACACAACCACCCAACCACACAACCACCCAACCACACAACCACCCAACCACCCAGCCACACAACCACACAACCACACAACCACCCAGCCACACCACCACCCAGCCACCCAACCACCCAACCACACAACCACCCAACCACACAACCACCCAACCACACAACCACCCAACCACACAACCACCCAACCACACAACCACCCAACCACACAACCACCCAACCACACAACCACACAACCACACAACCACACAACCACACAACCACACAACCACACAACCACACAACCACACAACCACACAACCACACAACCACACAACCACACAACCACACAACCACACAACCACACAACCACCCAACCACCCAACCACCACCACCCAACCACCCAACCACACAACCACACAACCACACAACCACCCAACCACACAACCACACAACCCACACCACACAACCACACAACCACCCAACCACACACCACCCAACCACACAACCACACAACCACCCAACCACCCAACCACACAACCACCCAACCACCCAACCACCCAACCACACAACCACCCAACCACACAACCACACAACCACCCAACCACACAACCACAACCACCCAACCACCAACACCAACCACACAACCACCCAACCACACAACCACCCAGCTACACAACCACCCAGCCACCCAGCTACACACCCACACACCCACACAACCACCCAGTTACACAACCACCCAACCACCCAACCACCCAACCACACAACCACCCAACCACCCAACCACCCAACCACCCAACCACCCAGCCACCCAGCTACACAACCACCCAACCACCCAACCACACAACCACCCAGCCACACAACCACCCAGCTACACAACCACACAACCACCCAGTTACACACCCACACAACCATCCAGCCAGCCAGCCACACAACCACCCAGCCACACAACCACCCAGCCACACAACCACCCAGCCACACAACCACCCAGCTACACAACCACTCAGCCACACAACCACACAACAACTCAGCCACACAACCACCCAGCCACACAACCACACAACAACTCAGCCACACAACCACCCAGCCACACAACAACTCAGCCACACAACCACCCAGCCACACAACCACCCAGCTACACAACCACCCAGCTACACAGCCACACACCCACACAACCACCCAGTTACACACCCACACAACCATCCAGCCAGCCAGCCACACAACCACCCAGCCACACAACCACCCAGCTACACAGCCACACACCCACACAACCATCCAGTTACACACCCACACAACCATCCAGCCAGCCAGCCACACAACCACCCAGCCACACAACCACACAGCCACACACCCACACAACCACCCAGCCACACAACCACTCAGCCACACACCCACACAACCACTCAGCCACACAACCACCCAGCCACCCAGCCACACGGCCACTCTCAAGTTTACGGTGTCAAGATCGATGCCCTTTGTGTACGAGCGTATCCTCCGTTTGGCACCGGGATGTGTAGAGCGATCGCCAGCGAGCTGCATCATGAACGTGCTGGGGGCTTTGAGTACCGAGCGCGACTGCGCGTGTGTCTCGCGTGAGCCGACGGTCCTGCAAGGCGTCGTCGTTGTTGTTGTGGCTCAGACAGCACCAGCGGCAGTGCACACGCACACAAAGCTTGGGATGCTCATCACTGGCAACCATGAAACAGCACGATCTAGATGGTAATCGAGATATGTATGTATGATGTTATCATTGGGGTGTTGTCATATCGGTAATGAGCGGACGATATGAGCGTACGTATATATTGTACAGCGATTTAAAATATTTCGTGAGCGCAAGAATCGATTGTAAGCGACTAATTAATTCAGTGCCCCTTGCAAAATGTATCGCAATCACCACCACCACCATCATCGTCATCTGATCAGACTGCACGCCCGTTCGTGTAATTAACGCGTGTTGTTTTGTCGGCGGTCTAATTGACAAGTGAAGTGCGTGCGACGTGTAAACACGCGCGCAGGTCGCCCCCTGAGGATGGCTCCGCGTGGTACGAACCCGCTCACGATGCGAGCGACCTGGGGGGGGGGGGGGGGGCTCGAGGTCAGGGTTGGTGGAGTACACAAAGAGGGAGACGCGGTGTGAGCGAGAGAGCCACCAGCAAGTGGGTCAAACTCGTTTCTTTACATAAAGACAAATGTCCCCCGTATTGCCTTGACAGACTGCAGGGGCAAGTGCTGTTAGCGAGCACCTATGAAGGCCGGAACGGTACACGAGGGGGTGGGTGGCCAGCACCACGCCCGGCCGCCTTTGTCTCCCCAGTGGCGATGTTTACACACCGCACCAAGTACTCATTTGAGGTTAAGTCGACCTAGGCGAGGCCCAGGACCGGTTCAGATAATCGTCACCGGTGTTGGCCGTGAATCAAACCCGGGTCGCTGGGTTCGTAGCACAGCGCTCACCGCTACCCACAGACACACGCACACGCAAGAGGTTGGCCAAACGTCCCACGGCAGGGGCCTCCTGAACAGGAAGCCATGAGACTCCGTGGCACCTTCCCTGTTAAACGGCTCAACAGAGAACGAGAAAGGCCCATTGCCTAAAACGCCGCCCATGGTATATATTTCCTTAATAAGGCAGCGTTATTCACGAGCGTGTTGAGTTTTACGACGACGACGACTATTATTATTACTTGTGCTTTTAGCAGCACTGCCAACGCAGCAGCAGCAGCAGCATCATCACGCCGCTGTTCGTGCGACTCAAGCGGATTGTCGCAACGCGCGACCGCGACAGATGGCGGCAGCTTCGGTTGGCGTTCATCCAGCGGCGGATCGATCGCGGCGGCGGCGGCGGCGGCCCCTCTTTGACATCATCCCGCTGCACAATTCCCCGCGAGCGTTCCGGTTCCCCCGATGACCGGTAGGGTCCTGCCGCCCCTCTCTCTCCGTCTCTCTCCGTCTCTCTCCCTCTGTGCGATGGTGACCCCGTGACCCCTTCACCGCGCGCAGGGAACACGGTGAGCAACGTGGTGATGATCGTCCCGCCGCTCTACGGGGCACTGCACACGCTGCGCTCCGGCCTCGAGAGACGATACATCGCCGCCTTCCTCGGCCTGGCCGGTAACTCGCTCGTCCACTCGCTCACTCGCTCACTCACTCTCTCACTCTCTCGTCTAATCACTCTCTCACTCTCTCGCTGTGAAGCTGTTCAGGCTGGATGTGGGGCGACAGTCACCCACAGTCAAAGCCGGCTTCTGAAGTGCAGTGCATGCCGTGATGGCTTCAGCCTGGCGGGGTCACGAATGACTACGCATGCACACACAGTGCGAACGCAGACGGAGCGATGTCGACCTTCCCCGTGGCTTGTTATGGCGCAGCCCACCCTGGGAGGGATCGTTATGGAAATGAGCAGGATAATTTAAAGTTTTGTCATTTTAATGTTCGCTGCGGCGTAATTACACACGGGCGCAGACAGCGCGTGGGTTTGGGGACAGATTGACGCATTGGCCACGTGCGAACGTGTCAATGAGCATCCGTTTGGTGGTTTTGGTTTTTGCTGCGGTAAATTACAATGATATCGGTTAAAATGAAGTTACCGCATTATGATTCTCACAAACACATGGACTCGCGCGATTGAGAGTGGAGTATTCACTTTCCGCGGCTAACGACGCGCGGCTCCGAAACACGACCCATCGGCACTCGGCAGAGCGGAGGAGAGAGGCGGATGCCGTGGGAGCTGTGAGACGCGGGGAGAGACGCGCGCGCGTGCACGCGGCATTACAACCGCCGCCCCTCTCTCCATCCCTCCCTCTGTGCCCCGTAGTCGTTGGGATCGGGTCCTGGTGGTTTCACATGACTCTCCTCTACCACATGCAGGTGAGTCAAGTGTCTCGTCGCTTTATGTTCACTTGCCCCGGGGGACAGCCTCGCTGCTGGGGTCGCGGGAGCTTTTCGGGAGTGCTCCTGATAAGTTTCCGCAGCTGGTGGCTACAGCTGGTGGCTACAGCTGGTGGCTACAGCTGGTGGCCACAGCTGGTGGCCACAGCTGGTGGCTACAGCTGGTGGTTACAGCTGGTGGCTACAGCTGGTGGCTACAGCTGGTGGCCACAGCTGGTGGCTATAGCTGGTGGCTACAGCTGGTGGCTACAGCTGGTGGCTACAGCTGGTGGCCACAGCTGGTGGCTATAGCTGATGGCTACAGCTGGTGGCTACAGCTGGTGGCCACAGCTGGTGGCCACAGCTGGTGGCCACAGCTGGTGGCTACAGCTGGTGGCCACAGCTGGTGGCCACAGCTGGTGGCCACAGCTGGTGGCTATAGCTGATGGCTACAGCTGGTGGCTACAGCTGGTGGCCACAGCTGGTGGCCACAGCTGGTGGCCACAGCTGGTGGCTACAGCTGGTGGCCACAGCTGATGGCCACAGCTGGTGGCTACAGCTGGTGGCTACAGCTGGTGGCCACAGCTGGTGGCCACAGCTGGTGGCCACAGCTGGTGGCTACAGCTGGTGGCTACAGCTGGTGGCCACAGCTGGTGGCTACAGCTGGTGGCCACAGCTGGTGGCTACAGCTGGTGGCCACAGCTGGTGGCCACAGCTGGTGGCTACAGCTGGTGGCTACAGCTGGTGGCCACAGCTGGTGGCTACAGCTGGTGGCCACAGCTGGTGGCTACAGCTGGTGGCTACAGCTGGTGGTCACAGCTGGTGGCCACAGCTGGTGCAGCTGGTGGCCACAGCTGGTGGCCACAGCTGGTGGTCACAGCTGGTGCAGCTGGTGGCCGCAGCTGGTGGCCACAGCTGGTGGCTACAGCTGGTGGCTACAGCTGGTGGCTACAGCACCGCTGTGCCGTTTCCCTCACCGAGCAACTTGCCGTGTCAATTTTTCCCAACTTTGGGCAAATTCAGACGGCGATGCCGGCACGCACACGCACTGCGGCGCACAACGGCGCTGCGTCTTGGGCGGGCATTGTAACGGCTAATCCCGTACCGTGGCATTAACCAGGGCGGCACCAGCGCCCCGAACCGCAAACCCTGCGACGAGCGCACGTGACGAGCCACCGCCAGACGGGCGCGAGGTGGCGCGCAGCCGTCGTCATCCCGAGGTGGGGGGGGGGTCGGCGGATCGCAGAGGGAGCGCGCTAGAAGGACAGCCAAGGGGGGGGGGGGGGGTGTGCAGTGACGCGGGACGGGCGGAGGCACGCTCGCCTCTTGTTTGCCAAGTCCACGCGGTTCAATTCCGGCAGGCCACCCTGGTTATCACTGCGGATGTACGAACCGTAAAACACGACGGCTGGTACTGCTGCTGCTGCTGCGTTTCGTCTGCTTCGCAGCGCTCGTTCGAGATCGCCTGACCCCGTGACCCAACTGGACATTTGGGGAAAAGAGCTTCTCAGCTCATCGGATTCCTCCAGGATAATAACACATTCTAATTCGGAACGAGTCGGGTGTGCCGGCGTCAAGGTCAAGATTTGCCAAAGTTGAAAGATTCCACTCGCAAGTTGCTCACTTTGTGATCGCCACACCGCCTGCTGAGAAACTACTGCAGGCTCCGTGACGCACAGTAGGGCCCTTCCTTCGTGATAGCCTTGCCGCTATGAGAACAACGCGAATTCCAATTAACATTGGTCTGTAAAGCCAATAATTCCGTGCGATTAAAACATGTAATTATTTTAATGTCGATACACGGAACGGAGCGGAGCCATGTGGGTTGGCGATGGCGCACGATGAGTCCGTGCGCTCGTCGTTAATGCCAGGCTCACAAACCCTGAGCTGATCGTGGATTTTTTTTCCCCACGTATTCATTTTTATTCCGAGCAAACGCTGCTGGAAATTGTAATTATATCCGGACCCTGGCTCTGCTCGTAACTTAATAATCAGCAGGGCCATCGGTAAACGGCAGCAAATGGGTTTCTGGCCCACCTGTGTGGGTTTATGTTGTTGTTGAGTATTTTGTGTTTGTATGTGCGTGTTGTTTTCTCCTTCTGTGAATACTGCCGCTTCTCCTAACAATATTTCACAAAATTAACCGGCCAAAAATCCGTTGACAATTCATCAAATCGCGGAGGGGGTGAATGGACGGGCATCTTGGAAATAAGGTCAGCGATCTAAAGAGTTATAAAGAGTTCTAAAGAGTTCTAAGGAGTTATAAAGAGCGACTTTCCTTGATAACTAATAGCTCCTCTGTGTAAAGGACAGTGTCGTCTTATTGTGATTAACTTGTCTGACCAGAGTTTCCATACCGTGACGGAACACACAAGTGATCTGATTTACAAATAAAATGTTGCACAGTCAGTTACGCAATCATCGTTATGAAACTAGATTTAATTTCGGCTTGCACAATGCATTTTTTTCCCTGCGAAATCTTTTCAAGTCAGCCCACTGGACACTTTAGTCCGATACGCGAATCGACTAATATCGGTTCCATACGCACATAAGTCCCACAGACTCACATGGTACACATAATCTCAAACATCGATGAATACGGAACCCCATTAAACCATCATCACCGTCGATGTATCCACGCTCGCATCCACTCACTCAGTTCGCTCGTGCAATCGACGAGCATCAAACTTTGCAATCCACGCTCGCATCCACTCACTCACTCAGTTCGCTCGTGCAATCGACGAGCATCAAACTTTGCAATCCCTCTCCCAGCTGCTGGACGAGTTGCCGATGATCTACAGCTGCTGCATCTTCGTCTACTGCCTGTGAGTGCCAGCGCGCACCTCACCTTACAATCATCGATGTTGCACCGTCTCTGAGGCGCTTCACGAAGAGTTGGCAGCGGTACGCATGGATGTGACGGCGGAGGTGGAGGTGGATGAAATAGACTGAGAGGAAGCGATTGGGGGGCGGGGAGAAATCTTTGATGCGTGAATTCGGTGAAAGCGAAATTGATTACGGTGAATGATTGAACGGACGGAGAATGAGTGAAAGCCGTGTGATGAGAATGTGCAGAGGGAGAAGTAACGGTGGCGGACATGAGGGGGAGATTCAGGGGGTCGTGGGGCGAGCTCGGGAACAAGCACTGAGTTTTGAGTGCGCAGCGGAAGCCAGTGGGTGAAGGTGGCCGCTTCATGTGGAGTGGGAAGTTTGTTCCAGTCAAGGGGGCGAGAAGAGAGAGAGCAGAAGCGTGGATTGAGCACAAGGAGGAGGCACCGAGAGAGAGAGACACAGAGACAAGGAGACATGGGGATAGAGAGACAGAGAGACAGGGAGACAGAGAGAGAGACAGAGAGACACAGAGACAGAGAGACACAGAGACACAGAGACAGAGAGACACAGAGACACAGAGACACAGAGACAGAGAGACACAGAGACACAGAGACAGAGAGACACAGAGACAGAGAGACACAGAGACAGAGAGACACAGAGACACAGAGACACAGAGACAGAGAGACACAGAAACAGAGAGACACAGAGACAGAGAGACATGGGGCTAGAGAGACACAGAGACAGGGAGACAGAGAGACACAGAGACAGAGAGACACAGAGACAGAGAGACACAGAGACACAGAGACAGAGAGACACAGAGACAGAGAGACACAGAGACAGAGAGACACAGAGACACAGAGACAGAGAGACACAGAGACAGAGAGACACAGAGACAGAGAGACACAGAGACAGAGAGACACAGAGACAGAGAGACACAGAGACAGAGAGACACAGAGACAGAGAGACACAGAGACAGAGAGACACAGAGACAGAGAGACACAGAGACAGAGAGACACAGAGACAGAGAGACACAGAGCTAGAGAGACACAGAGACAGAGAGACACAGAGACAGAGAGACACAGAGCCAGAGAGACACAGAGACAGAGAGACACAGAGACAGAGAGACACAGAGACAGAGAGACACAGAGACAGAGAGACACAGAGACAGAGAGACACAGAGACAGAGAGACACAGAGACAGAGAGACACAGAGACAGAGAGACACAGAGACAGAGAGACACAGAGACAGAGAGACACAGAGACAGAGAGACACAGAGACAGAGAGACACAGAGACAGAGAGACACAGAGACAGAGAGACACAGAGACAGAGAGACACAGAGACAGAGAGACACAGAGCAGAGAGACACAGAGACAGTGAGACACAGAGACAGAGAGACACAGAGACAGAGAGACACAGAGACAGAGAGACAGACAGTGAGACACAGAGACAGAGAGACACAGAGACAGAGAGACACAGAGACACAGAGACAGAGAGACACAGAGACAGAGAGACACAGAGACAGAGAGACACAGAGACAGAGAGACACAGAGACAGAGAGACACAGAGCCAGAGAGACACAGAGACAGAGAGACACAGAGACAGAGAGACACAGAGCCAGAGAGACACAGAGACAGAGAGACACAGAGACAGAGAGACACAGAGCTAGAGAGACACAGAGACAGAGAGACACAGAGCCAGAGAGACACAGAGACAGAGAGACACAGAGACAGAGAGACACAGAGCCAGAGAGACACAGAGACAGAGAGACACAGAGACAGAGAGACATGGGGCTAGAGAGACACAGAGACAGAGAGACACAGAGACAGAGAGACACAAAGACTGACAGAGTATTGTCCACTTCCACACGTCAGCTGCATACCACATGGGTAAAGACAGGCACCGATCAGTCCGTGTGAAGCCAAAAAATGGTTTTCCTACGGAATCACCATCCCCCATCGAGGCAATGTGGAATTTTGCAGAGGCTTAGGGGCCGTAAACAGGCTTAAGATCTGCTTTTAAAAAGAGACTGATGTTAACTATTACGATCACTGGAATCGCTCTAATTATGTTTCCCAACCGTAGTTCATTTATGATTGCATTGATCCTGTGAATGGGAATTGTTGCAAATCGTTCGTCATTTTAATTGCAAACACAGCAGTAAGTGCTTCGTGTAAGTAAACTCCGGCATGAAATGTGCCCAGGGTCTATTTGGAATTAAAATATAAGCGCGACAATTAGATTACGGTCATGTTTAGGGTTCTGCACTTCAGACTCTGACAATCGATCGTGGAGATTGGCTCGAGGAATTTGTAAGAGAGGCTATTAGTATCGATTTGTAAAGCGTCGCTCCATCACGCATTCAAACACTCATGCTGTGTAGGCAAAGTTTGCTTACGCATAGCCCGCGTGAACAAAGGCCGGTCGGGCGTGACGCTGACCACCCAGCCCCTCGTGTGCCGTGCCGGCCTTCATAGCTGCTGCTCCTGAACAGCACTTGCCCCAACAGTCAGTTCACGCAATTTTGTTTTTGTCGCAGCTACGAATGCTTCAAGCCCAAGAACACGCACAACTACCCGCTGGCGGGGCTGCTGTGCGCCTACAGCCTGCTCGTCACGGCGGTGAGAGACAGCAGTAGCACTGCCGGTCCCTGGCACGTGGCACGCTCCCAGGACCCATGCACATTGATTGGGGAGACCGCCCTTGCCTGCAGCCCCTGAGGCTAAAATGTGGACGTCGCTCTGGGTTTGTCAAAATCAAATAGAAATTATTGGTGGCGAATTAACAGCGACTGCAGCCCTTCGCCAATGCGGTGGCGGGTGAGAGGCCTCCCCGCGCCGCGTGGGATGTGACCGCTGTTTGACGACACCTCGCCACGTCGGTGAGCGCACGCACGGGAGCATAGAAGTACAAGACAACGATTTTGCTGCACTGACCGCTGTGTCTGCGCTCGCCAGGCTCGAAGGCTGCTGAGCTTCCAAGGCTGCACGTTGGTAGTGGCTGCACGTGGGATTTGGTCCTTGCGTATAATTAATGTACATCGCGATGGGATGCTTTTAGCATGAATGGCGCGATATAAAATGAAAGATATGATTCATATCTAGCGTGGGTGGGCGTGTTCCGAGTGGTTTAGTCATCCGATAATGCAAGGGTAATATATAAATATAAAGATGTGTTATGATGGAAAGGTTGCATCATATTGGTCCGCATGCAGCACTTATGAACCCGATGCCCCTCCCTCAGCCGAGCCGCGCTGACCGGCGTGGTGAAGTATGGTCAAGCAACCCCCATGAACCGACATGGCTTGAAGAGGATTTAATCCAGCAGTGGATTGACGATGGGCTCATTTAAGATAAATCCGATGAGCTTTGAAGCTTCTGTTCACGGATGAGAGAGGGGCGATGGTGGCCTTAAACGTGGCAAGGGGATGGCAGCAGCGTCAGAGTGTGTTGTTGAATCTATCTGTGTGGAGTTTGGAGTGTTGCCTGCAGGGGTTTTCTCTCATCACTCTGGTGTCCATCCAAGTGAGAAACTTGACTGGGGATTGACAGACTTTGCCCTTACACTCCACGAGGCTGTCTTGAGTAATGCCCATCATCATCATCATCGTCATATTCTCTTAATTACAAAGACGCGCTGGATAATAAACAGCAGACAACTCAAACTTGTGCTCAGAGAAACATTTCATGGAGGGACATGTGGCGGTCCCTTCATTTCAAGCATAAAAAAAGAATTACATTAAATTTCCGTGGTAAATATTAATTAAATTCCGATTAACATTTTAGGGATCTCAAGGTGGGGGAGGGAGGGGGGTGAGTAATTGCCCCCCCCCAGCCCTCAGCTGAGATCTGCCACTGCTTGTGACCACTGTCAATGCGGTTATACAACAAAGACAAAGATCCCCCGTATAGCGTGAACAGACTCTCGGGGCAAGTCCTGTTGGCGGAAACCTATGAAGGCAGGCACAGCACACTAGGAGGTGGGTCGCCGCCTTTGTCTCCCCATTGGCGACGTTTAAACATCGCACCAGGTACTCATTTGAGGCTGAGTCGACCTAGAGGTGGCCCAGAACCAATTCAGACAATCGTCACCGGTGTTGACCATGCAACTCTGGTCACACGCTCACCTACCGCTTTGCAGAAAATGACGCACCCCCAACTTTTGCTTTAAAATACCGGTAAAAACGGTGCGTCTTATACTCTAATCCAGAGAATGCGGCCTTTGCCAAGCGGGTTTGACCCTTCGCAACAAACCAGGAGGTGAACTCGCGACCTTCCCACTGGGAGCCGAGCAACGCCGGTGTCCGTCGTGAGCTCGCACGCGAGGACCGCGCCGAGCTCACGGTCCTCCCCACTGCCGGCGGGGGACCGCACGCCGCCACCAACCCCGAGCCCATCGACGACAGGGGGGGCAAGGGGGGCAGGGGGACAGGGGGTGGGGGGGGCAAGGGGGAAAGGGGGGGGCAGGGGGGGGCGGCCACGCGTCAAACCAGCGCCAGCGCCACCATTCGCCCCGAGGAAGGGAGCTGATTGATTGAACGACCCCACGACCGAACGACCGACCGACCGGGCGGGCGGAAGCGAGATGTTCCCGCCGCGGATCGAGTGAAATAAAAACCGCATCGCCCCCCCCCACCGCCCACGTCGTCAAAGTCTGGGACACGGCGAGAGAGCGAGCGACCGACACAAAGGACGGCAGAGCTCGGGGCGTCCGCTCTCCGCCGCTGCCGTGCGAGCCGAGTGACCGTGGTCGCATTCCACCGCGAATCCCGAATCCCCACGCGCAGTCCCCAGGTGGCTCGCCCCGTGCGTTTGTTCCCGCGGTTGTTGCCGTCCTGCTCCTGTTGTGTTTGTGACGCTTTGTTTTGACACAGGTCTACCTGTCCTGGAAGGAACCCGTCTTCCACCAGGTACTCGCGGCCATCTGACCCCAGCGTGTCGCACGTGACATTTTGCGGCTCTGTAAATCCACTGCTGGACGTAGGACTCCTCGCGATCCGTTCCGTCAGGGTGGTCGTGTGACCATACTTCACCACTCTGGGCCGTGCGCATTGGTGAAATGGGGGGCCCAGGCCCGGTTTAGACGTCACGCGCCACTGCTGATAGCCGAAGCCCGGAATCGAACACACTCAATCGTCCTCGTATGGTGACACAACCTTTTCAAAACGACACGTGGAAATGCAAACATGAAGAAGGGCCATAGCCCGAAACGTCTATGGCCCCACGGTGGCTATTATATGTTAGCTACCTCGCCTGGTATACAGGAGGTCGTGAATTCGATCCCGACCCTGACGCCTGCTGTATATTTGGAGTTTCCGTGTCTTTCTCTCCCGGTGGTCGCGTGGATTTTTCTCGGGGTCCTCCCATTTTCCCCTTCACATTTAGAATCAACATCACGCGTTTAGAGCGTTTGGCTGCTACGTGATGATAAGCCACTTCGTTGAGCTGTGATTCGTGGTCAGGTCGCTTCTGAAAAAGAGCTACTCAGCTCAGTGGGGCTTGCCTGGTAAAACACAAAGTTACATTACTTGTCGATTTCATATATTTCTCCCCATTTAAGACGGCGGCTGTTACATTCGACGTCTGTGGCGTTCACTCGAGCGCCCTCCCGTGGTCCCCGTGGCCCAACGCAGCCGCGCGCGGCCGCACTGCCCAGGGCCGCGAGTCGCCCTCTGCCGGCCACGGCCGCGGCCTCCACGCGGCGCCCGGACCGCAGCAGCAGCAGGAGGAGCAGCAGCAGGAGAAGGGGGAGCAGGGGGAGTAGCTGCAGCAGCAGGAGGAGCAGCAGGAACAAGGGGAGCAGGGGGAGGCCGCCGCCTTCCGGCGCCAGGACAGGGCAGGGCCATCAGCGGGCACATCGAGGCAGCGGAGCAGACGAACTGAGCAGCACGCGCCCCGATATGAGGCCACTCGCATTATTCGGCTATCGCAGTAATGTGTTTTGTGCCACGTCAAGGGCATTGTGACCAATCATCACTCCGCCACGGGTGGCCCAAATCTTGTTTCTTTTGTAGTCCATATGCCATCTAGAAAGGCCCCCCAGCCACCCCACCAACGCGCACCTGGTGAAGTGCGGTCACAAAAGAGGGAGGCCTTCATCCAGCAGTGGAATGAGAAAGGGCCGTGTACATTGGTGACACTGTCCTACTAGAACCAAGTCGAAGTGGGCTCCTGCTCAAATCAGCATGGTGACATTGGTGAGCATCACCTATTATAACAGCCCTGACCCACTGATAGAAATTCCACGTTGCTATGACAGGTGCAGGTTTATCTACGGGGCAACCGCTGTTGCCTTCCGCACAAAGCGGTACTCATTTTAACGACCGCAATTTACATTGACTTGTGCATTGTACGTATGTTGAACTTCTTTCGCACCGCACGTAGCCAAACGCGCGTTCCAATGCAGCCACAGTGCCGATTCTTGCATTCTGTACGCGACTTCTAAACTGCGCGATGTCACGCTGGCAGGTGATGTACAGCATCCTGGTGGCTGCGGTGGTGTTTCGAGCTGCGTATATCGTCACCTGGTAAGACCATTCGTCGAACAGAACCTCCCACAGCATGAACGCGTAGTCGGGATTTCGTGGACAATGTTATCCATCGTAGAGGTTTTTTCTTGGGTTAGATCGTGTAAATATATAAATGTTGCGTCGTGAAACCCGCCACCACCCGGCACAGCCAATGAGTCAGGTTTGTCACGTAAACAGACCGTGCCAATTAAATTGCTAGTACAGCACACCGGTGTGTTGGAGAGTAAACCCACAACATTTACAATTTGAGTACGACGTTTCGCCAGTAATTGCAAATAGCATCATCAGGTGACAGTCAGATTTGTGGCTGTCGCCTGATGATGCTGGTTGTAATTACTGGTGAAACGTCGTACTCGAATTGTGAGTCTGTGGGTCTCCATGCGAGTTTGTGGGTCTTTGGGTCTCCATGCGAATCTGTGGGTCTCCATGCGAGTCTGATCGTGACTACTACGGCAGAGTGCCGTTCATCACCAAAGACAAAGATCCCCCGCACAGCCTCAACAGACTGTTGGCGCAAGTGCTGTCAGCGAGCAGCACCCATGAAGGCCGACTTATATCACCGGATTGACAACTGCCGACGATTGCCCGCCGTCTCGCCCGCTCCTCTCAGGGTCTACCCGCAGCTGCGCCCGCACGCGTACACGTTCGTCGGGGTGTTCCTGGCGGGGTTCGTGCTCTGGAACGTCGACAATATCTTCTGCAGCACCTGGAGGTGAGCGAGCGAGCGAACGTGAGCGAGCGCGTGCCACCGCTGGCCGGGGCGGACCCTAGTTTCCCAGCCTGGGGCCACGCGCGCACCGTATTCCGGAGTTGAATTCTGGACAGCCGCGGGTGATCGGGGTGTGGTTTGTAAAGTTCGGCGAGTTGATGGCCTTTCGGCCTGTTTACTGATGACTTGACGCTCGGTTGTGCACTTTGCTCTAATTCGCCCCCATTTCCAGCTCTGAAAGTGAACTAACCATACGCGCCTCGACGTCACGCGACGGCTGTCACCACCAACGGCACGGGTGGCACAGAGGCAACAGTCTGTGTGGTTTTGTGTTTGTGTCAACTCCAGCTAGGGAGCGAAACTATTGGGTCGACAGCCATGGCACAGTCTCAGAGGAGAGTGTGTGAAACCCCATTTTTTTAAGGATAAAAAGGGCATTGGAAGGATTTTTTTAAGCCATGTGTTGTTCTTCCCTCGCGCCTCCCGAGATTAGCACGGTTGGCTACGTACGGTGCGAAAGAAGTTCAACGTACAGTACAGATGTGCTAAAAATATGTTGGACCTGCAAACTTGTTCTCCGCCACGCAGCGAACTTTCCTGACGGACTCTTTGTATCGTGACGCAAGACCGATGGCGCAAATCTAATAAACTCACGTGGGGGGGGGGGGGGGAGAATTGCCACACAATTTGAACGAAAATGAATAACGAAATAATAATTAAAGGATGTCAGTGGAGTGCGATGGCGGTGGCTTCATCGATTGTGGGTGGAAGATTTGTGCCAGAAAGGCGTCACGCGTTGAAGCAAAAAATGTAATTGACTCGACTTGCAGCTAACAGGAACATGCCTTCCACACGCCTTGCACAGCGATCAGTGGAACAAAAGGAACATTGTGTCATTAGAAACACACACGTTGGGTTTTACTCGCATTGTAAATTGTCCTGGCTCTCCCCACTGCCAATGCGCACTGGCCAATCAACCCCTTCATCAGCGCACTGGCAAACCGACTTCTTCGTTAACATTACATACCTGTCCGGAAACTTTCTTTGTGGAATCCACATTTGGGTTGGGTGACCTGGGAAACGCAGGTCGGTGCGTCTCGACAAGAGCAGGTGGGAAAGGCCTTCGCGGAGCAGCAGATAGACAAGGAGGGCTGTACATGATCACGTGACTGGTTTTCACGTGATGGATTTTCACGTGACGGGTTTTCACGTGGCTGGTTTTGGCGTTACCAAGCGGGAGGAGTGAGCTGACGCTCATGTCTCGGTGTGCAGGGATGTTCGCGGCAGAGTGAAAGTGCCCGTCCTGGGAGCGGTCACGCAGTTCCACGCGTGGTGGCACATCCTGACGGGACTGGGGTCGTACCTGCACATTCTGTTCAGGTATGAGCAAGCGCTACACACACACACACACAAATATACCCCCCGCATAGCTTGAACAGACTGTTGGGGCAAGTGCTGTTAGCGAGCAGCACCTATGAAAGCCGACACTGGCACACGAGGGGGTGAGTGGCCAGCAACACGCCCGGCCGCCTTTGTCTCCCTAGTGGTGATGTTTACACGCAAGGTACCTATGCACAGACAACAGATTGTCCTATGAGCTTGCACGTACTATGAAGAAGAGCCAATCCCCCAAAATGTTGCCTATTATATATAAAAAAAACTAATTCGACTGTTTTAGGGCCACGGTGTTATTGACGAATGCGAGGAGTTATTTGTTATTTGTGCATCACTGCCAATGAGACAGGGTTACCAATTAATTAGTTTCATGATGACGATCAGCGCAGTGACCCACAATTGTTTCCATGCAGCCTCCACACCAGGGCCGTCCACTTGAAGTGCAAGCCTCGGCTCAGGGTAAGACCTCCGTGGCATCAGCCACAACTTCACCTCTCCGTGTAAAACGATGTCGTGACTGTGTTCTCTGAAAGTAAATACGCTGCGTAAAGTAAAGACACGCCCCAAACACTTTGGTGTAATGTAGAGAAGAGGGGAAAAAAATTTGCTTTATAACTGGGAGAGTACGGCACTGCCCCGGACAGCCACCGTCTCCCAGATGATGATTATGAATGCCGTGCTTTTAAGTGGAAGACAAGATATTGAATGCCCTGTGTGCAATGGGGAGAGTGGTCATCTCTTGCTCTGGACAGTCGCCGCCTTCCAGGTGGTGATAATGAACGAGATAAAGACCACATCTTGGTGTTCCTCGGATTATAAGACCGCAACGTCATCCCCTGACTTTTGCTTTAAAATGCAGGAGGGGTTTGAAACAAATCGAGTCTTGCAATCTGGAGACAAAACTGTAACGAGAAAAATCGATTTAAAGCTTTCGTGACGGCAGGGATTCATATTCTTGGTTCTTTCGGTAAAGTCGCGTAGAAGGGAAATAATACAATTATAAAAATCTAACAATTAAATTCTCACGACGTTTCGATTGCAACACAAGCAATCATCAGGTGTGAAAACCACAGGAAGAAAATGTTATTATTTCCCTTCTACGTGCCTTTACCGAAAGAACCAAGAATACGAGAATAATCGAGTGAAAACGACAGACGCGCGAGCGATATTTAATTCGCGACCATTTCTATGTTTAGTTCCTTGCCGGAGTGTGGCCGGTGATGGAGGTGGACGCGCCGAAACATCTCTGAACTTCAAGGAGAGTCGGCGATGGTGGGGGCGTGGGGACTTTGTTGGTGTCTTTTATTTTATTTTAAATTCTTGCGCGTTGTTTTGCGTGCGTGCGTTCCGAGCGCGTTCTACACACAGCGTGAGCGTGCGTCATTAAAACGGGCACTCGTCGTCGGTGTGCGTCCTATCACGGAGCCTACACAAAAAGCAATAAACGGCGAATCGTGGCGGAGGACAGAAAAAAAAACAACGCAACCCTTTGTGGGGAGGCACAGACCCCCCCCCGACCCCCGTAGGGCCAATTCGCTTCCAGACCCGAAGTCGGCACCCGGATGAAGGGCGCAGCGGCGGCGACCTGCAGGAGGTGTTCCGAGCGCCGGCCGGCAGCGAAGGACATGAAGGAAGCGAGCCGTCTCGAAACAATCAACGCTTTTGCTCTCTGTTCGCTTATTTGTACAATCGTGTTTTGTTTTACACCGCTCATGTTGTGCTCATTCAAGACGAGCGGAGAAGGCACAAATTGTGAACGTGTTTGTCACTGCCGTACGGGCGGTGTCATTTTTGTAATCGTGAAACCGAACAAAGCCAAGCTGTGGTGGTAACAAGTGCTTGTCGCAAGCACGTGCTGTAAGGGGGTTCAACTGTGAAGACGGCAACAACCAGCAATGACGGCGGTAATATTGAGCCGAGGCTGTAGTTTGTGAAGACAGTATGAATTTGCACTATTAGTCCACATTCATGACCGAAAAAATGACGCGTAAACGATTCACGATCAACGCTTCGATTTTAAGATTTTTTTTTCATCTCATTTGCACCGCGTCACCTGTACCCTCTCATCATATTTGCTATGTGTTCTGCACCGTCTTTCCGTCTTGTTCATTCAGACCAGTAGCCGAATTCAGTCGATTCAGAGATAGGCCCCACTGGGCAGTAAAGGTGGCGCAGTGGTCACCCTGGTGCCTTGCGGCAAGAAGGCCCTGGGTTCGATGCCCGACTCGGGCGCCCTTCTGTGCAGAGTTTGCGAGTTTTCCGCCTGTCTCTGCATTGGTTTCCTCCGGGTTGTCCGCAACTCCCGTTTACCAAGTTGGCCAAACATCCCCAATGAGTCTTTGGACTCAAGTGTGGCTCTCCTGGGTAAATTGGTAGTAATTAATGAAACAATTAAAAGGAAACACGTAACATTTTTTGCAAATGAAAATAGGTCCAATTCAGAATCTTTAATTATCCTGGAGGAATCCGATGAGCTAGGAAGCTCTTTTTCACACATAGTGCAGTGCTGTGGCTCACAGAGGTTCGCGCACTGCACAATGAACCCGGCGACCTGAGTTCAAGTCCCAGCCACGACCAACATCAGTGGCAAGTGGCATCCCAACCGGATCTGCATCCCCCGCCTTCACTAGCCTGCACTAGTCTGCACTGACCAGTGTGGTGAAGTATAGTCAAACAACCGCCGTGACAGACACGGCGTGGGGAAGCCTTCATCGAGCAATGTATTGGCAGAGGGCTGTGAATTATGATTTACTTATTACTCTGTCACCAACGTTTCAACTTTATATTGATGCTAAATACACACATCGTGACATACCTATGACATGCTCTCTGTCCAAGGAAGCCAAAGCGGAGGATTTGAGAGCTTCGAACGGTGGGTAGAATAGCGCGGTTGGCTACGTACGTGCACGCGTAGAATTTCGCTTGAATTTCGCTTGAATTGTGGAGCAAACGTGACCCCGTGACTTCCCGACACCAAACCACGCGCATCACCGCCCACACACGGCCCAGTAACGACGCCACGGTGACGATTAAAGATAATTTGCCAATTTGCGCCGCGCAACGACCGGTGAGACGGTCACGCGGCAACGGGAGAGCGATTCGCTTCGTCCGCTGGTGCGGCACGTGTGGCGACTCCACCACGTGTGGCGACTCCACGACACGCCGTACACACGCCGCAACGTTCATGTGCATACGCAGCGGCGGCCCGCATCAACTGTTGCACACACACAGACACACACCTGTAGGTCAGTGTGATGTACGAGTATAATATGAATGCACACAGTGTTCATGGAGGTATTATTCACCGCTAAGCTTTATAGACTCCGTGGGGGGTGATGGTTGATTAATCCCCCCTCTCCACCCACGAGATCCTGAAAATTGGTATTCTATTGACGTTCGCCAGAGAAAAACGTGACATCTCAGCACCCCCCCCCCCCGCCCCCCCACCTTGGGAATAATCTCGATCCGGCTGGGGGTCGACTGGAGCTTGAACCGCACAGTTGACAGTAGGAGGGGGGTGCACACTCGGAAATGTAAGAAATGAAGCGTTTGCCAACACAAACAAAAACATCGAGCGATCTTCAACAGCTCCAACAACGCAAGCGGCAATTGAACGAAGCGCAGCCGAGACGCCGACGGGCATCTGGGGGCACGGAGCCCCCGAGTCTCGATACGCCGTGGCGTCTCCATCGCCACGGCGGACACGGGAAAGTTCCAGGGGCATGAGATTCGTCAGATACGATCTCCACACTACCGCACGCGCGCGCGCGTGTGCGCGTATTAGGAACCTCGGTCGCACGACTGTTGAATTATAATTGCACACCTTTAAGGAGACCCCATATATAAAGGGGAGCTATAGTGCACATTGCGGTTCTCTATATATCTATACAGCACAGCACGTTCTCATGGCGTGGAGAACGTGCAGGAAGACTTAACAGCTTGGTGACCTGATGCCATTTATGGAAGTTCCACATTCCTATGACGGGGACAAGTCTATGCACAGGATAACTACTGTTGACTCTCCTGCATCCCTTGATGCAGCCTCAAGAGGTAGTGCTCATTTTATCAACCCCCGGAGGGATGATGGTTGTGATGGGTGTTGATGGGGCTTGAAAGGACTCTGTAGAGGGCTTCAAACTCATGATTTGTCCAGTCATGTGGACACATCGATCATCGAACAGATATTGACATTTGCGACAGACTGATGAACATTCTAGTGATGTTCTACAAGGCCTAGAAATCTGACATTTGGCACAAATATAGTCCAAGTCTATGCTTAGATCCAGGGAATTCCAAAAAAGCGAACTTTTCGCACCCAAAAACTACAGCCAAGAATCAGATTTCTTTCAGGGTCGCCTAAATGTCGACATCGCTTTCGAGTCTAAATACGTTCTCCGTCATCGGTTAACAAAGTAAATGGTCACCCCGAGGAGTGCGAAGACAAAGCCGACCGAGAGCAGGCATATCTCGCTACCAGTGAATAGTTAACAGCACGTGAAGTGTGCACATCAACTTGCTAATACTTTCCACTGACGCACTTGCGGTTTGTGTAAATGTGGATGTATAAACGGTTACACGCAGAGAGTACAAAATACGTAACTCTATATATGCAAATATATACTGCGGAGTGTATGCTCTAATCATGATCATGCTTTCATCCGTGTCTTAAGGATTGAGGTTTTTGCAAAAAACCTTAGCAACAAAGTGCCATTAAAACAACTTGTGTGCTTGCAAGACCCTCCTGTATGCGTCTGCCTCCGGTTTGCTTCGAGAGTAACCTTGCACCACTGCACGGACAAACACCCACAAAGCAAGAGTGCCCAACAATATCGATTCATTTAGCGAGGTCCTTTATTCAGACAACAGCCCAAACTTTTCAAGGGGAGACCAGAATAATCGCGGTTACAGTAAAACCTCGTTATTGCGGTATTTGATCATTCGTAAATTGGGTGATAATTCCGCACGGCTGCGCGTTCGGCAAATGTACGGTGTATTAGCAATTCGCCGCGAGCCGAATTGCCGTACCGGATGGTCCAATTTCGGCCCAGCGCGTACTGTGACGCCGCGCGTCGCGACCAAAACGACGACGCTCGGATCCGGTGGCGAGCGCCGGTGCTGAACCGTCGCTTTGAACTTCACCTTGTTGTTTATGTGCGCTCTGTGCAAGCCGAACCCTCTCGGAAACGTCGTCTACACCTTCGTCAGCAAGTCATTGAAAGGGACCGAAGTACGAATCCTTTAGTCTACGAGACAAATCCGAAGTTTTGGATAGAATTGATGCAGGGTGTGTGTCAATGCGTACGGTGTGTGAAGAGTTTGGAAAACTAATTTGTAAAAAAAAATGTATTGTGGCAGGAGACACTGGGGAATACCACTGTACATAATTCGGGATATTTGACAATTCGGCAAGGCAAGAGCCCCACGTGTCGAATCCACAAGGGTTTACTGGATTGTCGGGCGAGTTTGTAGAACTATTTATTTGTTGGCGATTTAACTTTAAAAAAACGATTGTGGCCGAGTTCTCAAAAGGTGGGGTTTGGGCTATGAGACCGACACACAATGACCTTCCCCGCACACACACAACGACGACTGGGAAATATAACAATAAGATAACTCCACCAATTTCATTAGCTTTACTCGGTGAAAGTTTGGAAAAGCACACAGCAAGTTGATGAGTGTATCGTACAAAGTGCTTTATAAATTAAACAAAATGATGAAAATTACAAACCCGTCAACCCCTTATCAGTGCCCACCTTATTAGAGACCAATTCAAACCTAGTTGGTCACCCAACGTTCATATCACAAAGTCCCATCACAAGGAAGAGACACAAACGAAGACAAAAAAATGTTTTGCCTGTATTGAAAACGGCTGTCAGCCATCTGGACCTGAAAACTCAATTTTCCTGTACAAGAATACGGGTAAACCGTATGGGATGACAGGTTTGCAATTATGAGGACATCGGCAGGCAGACATACGTACGCACGCACACGTGGACAAATCACAAATTGGACGATGATTTTTAGCGGCTGATGGTAAAATTCTTCCAATGCCTCAATGAAACACGCAGGATATTTCTACCGTTGCGATTAAGAAGGATGATGCACACACGCCGGACACGAGGATTTGAAAGCAAGAGGTCTTTGCAACGGCATGGAGAATACTTGTCTTGGCGAGGCGTCACTGTTCGAATAAAACATTCAGTGCAGTCTTTTTTTGTAACAAGAAAACCCATCGTAAAACGGGACGAACACGATGCACACGACGGCAAACGGCAAAGTGTGAGCGGACCGTGAAAAAACACGTAATGGGACCTCAAAAATACTTAGCGGAAGCTGTATTTATCATTAAGCACGATTTAAAATCGGACGCCTTGTAGCAATTAAATAATGTCTTCTTTATCTCTGAATTTATATGTAACATCCGGCTGCAATCTGTACCAAATATCACGAAAATAAGAAAGCATTCGTACAATGAAAGTTACATATTCAACAAAGGTGCCAATTTACCAACGTACAATATATCTTTGCGCAGAAACACCGAAGGCTTAAAAAAACACAAAGCGATCTTCATAATTAATTCAAGCAGCGAGCCGAATCGTCACCAGTGGCGTCTCTCCATCTCCAGTTTCACGCAAAAAAACCCTTTGCCTGTGGTTTTTCATTCTCTTGTCGGTGACAAAAAGTGGATTTAATGTATAATATCTGGAATGCGATGCCAGTGGCCTGAATAGAACTCTCGCCACTGGACGGCAACACGAACTCCTTCAGCTTCTGGACTAAACCCGGCTGGCCTTTTAAACAAAAAGCCCAGAAAAATCGCCTAACATGAGATACTGTCTTCGCATTCAAGGTATTACAAACAGAGCCACCTCAAATTCGTGATCAACATGGGGGGATAAGGCGAGGCAGAGATGATTAGCTTCGTCAAACTGAACCCATGGTTCACCACGGTTATTACATATAATTCCTGTAAATTTTTTGTAACAAATTTTTGTCGGGCACAGCACTAGAAAATGGCTTGGTTAAAACACGCACACACATACACACAGATGCGTGCGTCAAAAAAAACACACGAGCGCACGCAAGCGCTCACACACCCACTTACACTCGCGCTGCAGCGTGAACGCCACACTCTCAGAAGATCTGTTGTTCGAACATGATTTTCTCAAATCCCAAGGGCGGAGAGTGATAGAAGTCACTGAACTGGCAGTCGAGGATCGCACTGTCGTCCACTGTGAATCGGAGCGCACGACACAAGAGGGCAAGGGTGACGTTCTAACTTCATTGCACGCTTTTTTGTCTCTTTCGCCAAAAGTGATGCCGATCGTGCTGCCGGCGACGCGTCCCCGAGGCGAAGCATCCCACACCTGGGTTCTCGCGCAGAGCGGCGCGAACACACCCCGTTGTGTTCGGATAAAAACCTCCCAAAACAAGGGACATCACAGAGTTGCCTCTGAGATCCCCCTTCAAGTGACCTCTGGCAACACACACACACAGACTCTAACGGGCACCACTTTCCCACCCACTTTTCCATAACAGCTAAACAGTTTTTTTTGTTTATTTTCCAAGCTAGACTTTAGCCAAATTAAGTGTAGAAATAAAATTATGGCGATGATGGACTGTGAACATCAACTCAATAAACTTGATAACTCGGTTTAATCACAGGCAGCTGCCTAGAATCAAACAAGAGATTATCATTTGTAATCATTACAACGTATATCGTACACGGTATTCGCTCACTCTCGGAGAGAGAGAATGACTCGGAGGCGCGAAGAACCGCAGACAAAGCAGGAAGGAAGTCACGGGGTGGGCGAGCGCCAGCAATTGCCCAAGCTTTGCGGTCCTATATTCTTGGTTCTTTCGGTAAAGTCACGTAGATCGAAAATAATTTTTTTTTTACAAATAAAAGCAAACTTTTTTTTTAATATTATTTTAATTGTATTTTCTATCTACGTGACTTTGCCGAAAGAACTAAGATTATGAATTCCTGCAGTCACGGAAGTTTTAAGTCAAAATTTATTTGCGGTCCTCTATAATAAGGTTGTTATCAGCCAATTAATAAGTGTTTATTTAACGCAGGAGGAAAGCCGAGCACCAGAAGAAAGCCTAAGCATTGGAGGTGGTAAACACCGTCTCATCCACACAGACGAAATCGGCAGAGTTCACATTTTTGCTGTGCTGCCTTCTCCTGGCGAGCCCAGGGTATGACGCAACACGTGCTGGATCACAGGCGGCACGCCGCCGCCACCGCCGCCGCCTGTGATCCCCCTCAACGCTGACCTCCGATCCACATGACTACCTCGAAGGGCGATGTTCTTACGTTATCAGGCCCCTCGACAACACCACTCGCAATCTTTACGAGCACCAGTGTCAAGGTCGTGGCTCGAGTTGGCAGGAGGCAACAGAATTCGAAAATGTAGCAAAGGTGAGGTTTAAACATTAGGTTTAATATTACTGTTAACTTTAGCAAGAGTGTTAGCATTGGGACAGGCTTAGGTTATAATGCAAGCACTGTGCTTAGGATTAGTGTTAACGTTAATATTAATGCTAATGTTGAGACAAGGATTTGGTCAGTACTGAGCAATGGAATGATACCGATGAAAAGTTCCGGGTTGGGTGCAGAGTGAGTTAGAATGAAGGCTCTTGTTTAGGAGTTGCATTGGGACATTGCTTACTGTCACCAAAGGGAAAAAGAAGTTCAACATGCATGCATGGAGGGTAGGGGGGGGGGTTGGTTTTAGTGAGCGACAGCTCAGAGGCACACTTTGACGTGGGGTCAGGGCTGGGGTCCACGTACCGTAGACGACGGGGTACACCGTCCCACGGATGCCAGAGGCGCTGCAGTGCGTGTTCTTGCCGTTGACATAGACGCTCATCTCCACGTGGTCGTACGTGATGCCCTGCACACACGCACCACGCACGAACACCACAGGCTGTGAGAACCTGCCACTGTTCATGCACAACCACAGGCGTGCAATGGGCGCGCTTGCGGATGCGACTGTGAGCGAGTGGTGTGCATTCCGGCGTGCATTCGCCTACGCAATTAACCATGTCCCATTTTTCTGGTTCCGTTCCGATGACGTACACGTCTACGTATGAATAATTTTTGTTCTCCGACACACCGGTGTGTCGTACTAGTAACGAATTGGCACGTTCTGTATATGTGACAAACCTGACTAATTGGCTGTGTCGGGTGGTGGCGAGTCTAACAACCCATTTGTAGTTATGCGATCTAACCTAAAAAACCTGTATTATGTATAAAATAACTTTATCGGTACCGTGGCTCCCACAAGGCCATGCGGGAGGGCGTGGCACAGTTTGGCACAAGGTATCATAGAGTGCGGTCATGTCGCTACAGTTCTCTGCGCTGAGTACACCACCTTTAGAAAGAACAACGCTACGTTTTTCTAAATAAAATTTACCCCAACCGCTTTCGCGTTACGAAATTCACCGGTGAACGACACCCACCCTGCAACTTGCAGACGTCTCGGAATGGGAAAGGGTTAATTGTGAGAGTGCAGTTATATATGTGCGAGTGTTTGAGAGTGATTGGTGTGCGCGAGTCCGTGCGTGAGCGGCGAGAGCATGCGATTGTGACCACGGGTTCAGCTTACGCGTGGCATGTGATCATGTGCGAGCTATGCATGTGTGTGCGCGCTATTGTAAGCGTGCGGTGTGAAAATGCGTATATGATTGAGCGAGTGGAGTATTCATGTGTGGGCCTGTGAGTGAACATTGTGCGCGTGTGTGATCGTGACTTGTGTGCATTTGCGTTGTATGATGTACGTATGCTGAACTTCGTTCGCACCGTATGTAGCAAACCGTGCTAATCGGAGGTGCGTGTTACCACTAGCGAGCTGTGCGTGCGCGTGCGTGCGCGTACGGGTGCGCGAGCTCACAATAACATCGCCCTCCTGCGGCAGGCTGTTGGCGGGCAGGCGGTTGCACTCCTCGCTGCGGTGGCTCAGCGTGCCGTCGTGCCTCAGCACCAGGCTCTCCGTGTCACCGCCCAACGGCACGCGGCTCAAGTCCACCTTGCGCGTGGCCACGCCAACGCCCCACACGCCTTCCTCGGCGGGCAGGCCGGGGGGTGGGGGGGGGACATGGGAGACAATTACCAACCGCGATGAAGGGTCCCAGCTCCTGGGCTCCCTGGAACGTGGATAATGCCCTTGTTGTGAATCCACTGCTGGATGAGTCATCGTCCTCGTCCCCTCCAAGCCATGCACGTTGTGGAGCCTGTATGACTAAACGTGACCACGCTGGTCCGTGTGTGTTTAGCAATGGGTCAAGCTGCAATACCCACCACGTAGCCCCGCAGCAGCCTACAACAAGCTGCTGTGCGTGGTGATCACATCATCTAAGCCACTGTCCAGGCTAAACCCTGCATAGCTTCTGATATCTGACGAGGTCGGGTGCAGTGTGATGGATTTGGTCGTATGTTTATGTTTGTAAACACTTGTTTTGTCGGTGCTTGCGTGGAAAATCAGCCAAGGTGGACAAAGAATGATGTCCGCTACCATGTAAATTAGGATATATTATCAAAGTGTGTGCCTTTGGTTGGAGGTAAATTAATATTGTATACAAATTATTAAAATACCATTAACTACTACTAAGAAAATGGTGAGTTTAAATTTAAACAATGTCCATCAACAGGTGATAGTTGTGTCTTTCGTGCAAGCATCCTCAGCTCAAGAGCTGAAGTAGCTCATCTGACGAAGACTCACTTATTTAATAGCTGCTGCTAAGTTGAGCTTCTAAAGTAGCACAGCAGAGCACCAAGCAGTTGTGGTCAGAATCATGCATGCCGAGGCAAATGTCTCCCGAGTGCTGATGTTTAGCACACAAATATAACAGCTACTGAATCGGCTGATACAACGGAGGAGAGGTCAGGACCGGGCTCAGCCTCCATTTGTCGATCACGTGTAGCATGATCCTCGTAAAAGAACTGGTCACCTGGATAACAGCCCATAGTGCACTAATCTTTCCACCACTTCTCCGGAAAGATACAGGATATGTAAAATGCACGTGCATGCATGCCTGGCTTTCATACCTCTCAACCCCTTATCAGTGCCCTACCTTATTACAGACCAATTCAGACCTTATTGGTCACCCCGTGTAGTTATAAATCTCAACGTTCATCCTACAAAGTCCCATTACAAGGGAGAAACACAAAAAAGACGAAAACATGTGTTTTGCCTGTATTGAAACGGCTGTACGCCGTATGGACCTGATAAATGAATTTCCCTGTACAGAATACGAGTAAACCGTATGGGTTGACAGGTATGTGTTGACAGGTATGTGTTGACAGGTATGGGCTTTGCCTACACGAACAGCCATGCAAATGAATGTGCTGAGCAGCACCCACCTGTGGACTGCACCTTGAACTCAAAGTAGCTTTTGTTCTGGTGCAGGGGAGCGTTGGCGAGGCATGCTCCAGTTCCGCAAATCCTGCGGCCACTCTTGACCACCACCACGTCACAGCCTATTGGCAAGATGGGAGGCAAAGAATTAGTGGCCTGCTCTCATGGTCGGGCGTGGTTACTGGACTGTGATTTGAGAAACTCCCCGATCCACGAGGTTCACGAACGAACCTTTATCCACTCGTATGTGTGTACTGTCTCCAGGCACTTACAAGTATCACCCACATGCTCGTGAAAAACACAACTCGTCAAATATCCCTCCTGAAAAAAAATCAGACTCAGGGTGGCTTTGCCAAGATGAATGCCGTCAAGATTACTGCATTACCATCAGCAGGGGTTTTCTCCAGGAAATTCTAGTTTCCGTCGGTAATGGTCAAGGTACTTGGTCTCACATTCCAATGCAGGACCCTGAAGTACACGAATATTTGTCCTCGATGAGGCTTTGCTGAGTAAATTGTGTAATTTTGTTCATAATAATTAAAGTATTATTCCTTTAAATATTTACTGTGCTTGTAATTTGTTTGATACCCAAATATAACTTGTCCAGTAAAATCGGCAAGACCCTGCTGACAAATTTGTGATTCAAGGAGGCATTCAAGGGGTAAACATTCAAACCCATTACATGAATGACATTAATACTGTACTAATATAATCTCAACCTGTAAGGCACCTCCACACACGATTTGCTCACTCTCGCAGAGCAGGGTTGCGATTTCCGCATGGAAAATGCGGAAGGAGGGTTCAAATTTTCCCGCATTTTTGCTAAAGTCAACCGCAAACGGTGGAAAGACTACTCCTATGACCGCGCGCTTTTAACAACACGTTAATGCGTTCTATTGGAAAGGATACATCATGTACATGTGCTCGTAATCACGGCTCCGCATTTGAATAAAGTATGTGGTTCTTGTGCGGAAATGCGGAAATCATATATTCATTCCAATCAGTAACTCAAAGCCCTACGTGATGCTGGGCCTTGCATGTATCCTTTCCAATAGAATGCATTAACGTGTTGTTAAAAGCGCGCGGTCATAGGAGTAGTCTTTCCACCGTTTGCGGTTGACTTTAGCAAAAATGCGGGAAAATTTGAACCCTCCTTCCGCATTTTCCATGCGGAAATCGCAACCCTGTCGCAGAGGCCAACTCGGAGGCATCAGGAACCAGACAAGCGGGAAGTCAGCCACGCGCTGAGCCCACGCCAACGAATGCCCAAGCTCTGCGTTCCTCTGTGCATTACGATCTTATCGGCCAATTAACGAACCTTCACATGTGGGAAAAAACCTGAGCGAGCACCCGGAGAAAACTCACGCGTGCGAGGGGTTACCACTCGATCCCATCACACGGGTGGGAAACACTGTGGATGAAGTTAACTCCCTTCCACCGACGCCCTAGGGAAGGGAGTTTCTCACCATTTGGTGCGATCCACGGACCCTCGCTGCCTCCACAGCGGCTCACAGGCGTGTACAACCATCACCAGGCCGGCTTAATGGGTGCAATAACACAACACACCCTGTACACTAAGCAATGACTTCACCATGCTGTCATGCGCGACTCCTAACGCCAAAAGGAGCCGTTTACTATGAACACCGAGCATGTCGGCTGTGGAGATGGAGTGATGGAATCAGCTCGTGTGCTGGTGCTGACAGATTGTTCCATGGGGAGCCCCTGAGAGGCGGCTACGGCTTTGGGGAAGTCTTCATCCACCAGTGAGTACCGAGAACGCGGCTGCTAATGATGATGATGATGCACAAAAACATGCACAGTATACACACCCACAAAAGGTACAATAGTCTTTACAAACAACAAAGTACAGCACACAGTGATACACATTCTATAACATGTGCAGTGCCTGGGGAAAAGTAGCATTCCTTAGATATTATAAGAACTAGTCATTAGCAACAGCTGATGCCTCGCCCACGTGATTCATTTAAATGCCTAAGCTGCATACGCCGCGAAAGAAGTCCAACATACATACAAACATGCAAGATTGCCATTAACAATAGCAACGTTAACATTATTAACAATCAATTCACGATAGTAATGTCGACGTTAAAGTATCAACGCGTCTGAACGATGTGTTTGTGTCCACAAGAGGCACGTTTGACCAATTGTTGTAGTGGGTTTGGGTTTTCGGGGCAGGAAACGGGAGGCAAGTCGCTGACATCACCCCAACAACAGACAGCTTTGCACAGACAGGCCCTGGCCACTGTAACAGGAACCCACTTGCTGCACTGCCCCGGCAACATCGCGAAAATCTGGTTGTTGTTGTTGTCGGTACATGGATCCATCAACCACCCGTCCACTTCGCTATTATTTAAATATGCGTTCGCCGCAACACACAAACACTCCCACCTCTCCCGGGAAAACATTTGCTAATAGCAATCACCCTGCGATCGATCAACTTCCACACGCGGTTATTTGCTTTTTCCAGGAAAGGTGCGGAGGATGGGGTTAGCAGCACTCGCGCCTCTGCCGGACGATGCGCTCTTTACGCGGCAGAGGTTTCAGGAAAACGTCGGGGGTGCGTGATGAAGCTCGGGCCTAGTCGGGGTTCCCGACCCAGGAGAGGTTTTTTGAGGAAACCGCGCTCGCTCACCCATGTTCTGCGTGTCGAGCTGCACCACGGGCATCTCCTTGAGGGGGATGTGAGCCGAACCATCGCTCATGAAGCAGGAAAAACACCATCGCAATGCCGCCATCATCTCATCGCACTATGTCCTGCGATCAACCCCCCCCCCCCCAACACGAACATGACGTCACTTCAACTCGCCCACGGTCACGTGGTCGTTATTTATTTGTGACGCGTCCTGATGAACGTTTCTATTGAGGGGGGGGGGGATACTCGGTGGATCAAACCAATGAGTTGAATAGAGGAGGGGTGTAGGGGAATTTTGGAGTTGATGGTTCGTATTTAACATTTAATACGACGCTGTCAGAGCGGGTGGGGCTACAAGGACGAATCTGTGAACGTGGCTCCATCCCAATTACTGGCGATCAAAACCCACGCATTGTCAATTGTTAACTAGCCACCATGTGTCTGCAGGCTAACAGCACCTCCCCCCCCCAAGGACATTGCCACCTCTCGCGGTCCTGCCATGTCATCTGCAGCCATGAGCTATCCGCTGCTGGATGAAATGCCTCCCAAATGTCATCGCGCACGCTTCTGCCTAATTAGCAATCGAGCACCTGCGCACGAGCTGTTGCGGCTCCAACAGTGGACCGAGGGTCTCGGCAGCGCGTTCTTCTCTTACTTGGCCGCCGCTCCCATCGTTAGTCGACAACATTGCATTTTTATATACACGTGTATTAATTAGATGGTGCTTTTGCAAACAGTTGTCGGATTTGTGCTTAAGATGAGGATATTGGTGTTTGCGTTGGTTGGAGATATGGTAAAAAAAAATGCTTCAATACAATTTCAAAACAATTGGCACCACGGTGACGAGACGTTAAATACCTCGCCTGGTATACAAGAGGTCACGGGATTCTACACAAGATGTCACGGGGTTCTCTACAAGAGGTCAGAGGTCACGGGGTTCTACACAAGAGGTCACGGGGTTCTACACAAGAGGTCACGGGATTCTACACAAGAGGTCACGGGATTCTACACAAGATGTCACGGGGTTCTCTACAAGAGGTCAGAGGTCATGGGGTTCTACACAAGAGGTCACGGGGTTCTACACAAGAGGTCACAGGGTTCTACACAAGAGGTCACGGGGTTCTACACAAGAGGTCAGAGGTCACGGGGTTCTACACAAGAGGTCAGAGGTCACGGGGTTCTACACAAATGGTCACGGGGTTCGACCCCGACGCCTGTATATTTGTAGTCTGCATGTCTCTCTCTCCGTGGCCGCGTGGATTTTTCTCCGGGCCCTCCGGTTTTTCCCTCCACATTTAGAAACACATGATAAGCCACTTTCGTCGAGCTATAATGTGTGTCTAGGTCACTTCGGGAAACACAAACTGTACCGAGTGGGACCTTACCAAATACACAGACGGCCATCATACAGGATACCAGGAATATGTAACAAAAAGATGGTGCGCTTTTACGATTCATAATCATTTACAGCCCTGTCAATCCACGACTGGATGAATGCCTCCCAACGCGATGTCGGTCATGGGGGGTTTGTTTGACGATATTTCAACGCGCTGGCTAGCGCAGGGTTGATCAAGGAAGGGCAGTCCAGCAATGGTTCAGATATTACACGCCACCGACGTCGGGAAAACGAGTTCATAATGTACTGCCGCGTTACGCATTTCACACACAAGCAAAGCCATCACAAGCTGCACTCTCTATAAACGGGACTTTATTAAATGCTGTTGCGTGCGCGTGTACTGGAGTGTGCTACAGCACAGATCGGGGTATTTACAACTGATTTTCCACGCAAGGAACACATACTAACACATTCCAAAGTGTTACAAAAATCATTTTAAAACTTTTATCTTAAATTCCCATGTTAAACATCTTTTTTTTGTCATTTTTGTTTTATGCCACATTAGATATACGTTTACGACGTACAGGGTACATAAAAAGATTTATAATCGATATAGCATCAGACAATAGTTTTATGCGCAAAGCTTCATCGGTTTCTGCGTTGCCCAAGAAGCCAGGTGGATCCATCCATTCCAGGATTCCTGTGTAGCTTGAGTGGAGCGGTCAGTCTTATTACAAATGTCTTACATTATTATGCCTCAAGATAGGAAATGAGAAAAGATGCACAGTGTTTGGCAAGCTACTCTAACACACCTCTCCCAACTTGCAATAAAAATAATGAAACAAAATAAAAAATATAAGCAATGACGAAAGAAAAAAGATCCATTTTCTAAACACACGTGCTGGCTATATAATGCATCCTTAAGACTATGGTACACCTGAGGATCTTTTATCTGGATAAAGTACTGTGTTACACGGAACTATTAAAAAAATAAAATAACAGGTTAAAAAGGCAAGAGAGGCAATACACCTCTCCAAAGCACAACTCTTCTTAATCTCCTTTTCATGTTTTAAATACTCCCAACTTGCTTGCGTTAACACTTGCAAATTCTCTTCTGCTGAGGGTGGGGTTCAAGACGGCTGGGTGGGCGGGTGCTGGAGAGGGAGGCTGAGGGATTGCTTCGACAGCAAGTACTGCACCACACTCAGAATATGGAGACTCCCAAAACCTGCGCGACAAGACACATAGAAAATATATGTATATGTGATGATTAGGTACACAATGCTCACTCCTGCAGGACATCCAACACTGATGCCCTGAGCATCTTCTAAATATAAAACGCACCTATGTGCAGCAGTGGTTACACAGAATGAGTGTTTTCATTAAATGCAGTACATCGTGTTCATATCGTGCAGGAGTAGAGTGAAACAGTGCATTCATTAACACTGTATTTTTAACTGGGCATTAGTCAGTCACCGAGGCATAACAGTTCTGCTTGTGTAAAGTTTAGCAATCCACCAATATAACTAATTGTCAGAGTCTAAGCAGCTGTGGCTTTGGTTAATGATTCTTTGTCATATGTTGCTTATATTGGCAACAACAAAAAAGTCCCTGCTTTGGATTTCGATCTCACGAACAACTTCATGAGTGCACGCTGTTGGCCAGTGCAGGGACAAACGAGGCGCCAGCGAAGTGAATTTGCTACGTACGCTGTCATCCTCCATGACGGAGGCGGGGTCAAAGAAGTCGGGTTTCAGCTCGTTCCTCTCCCGCCGGTTCTTGGAGGCCGGCTGCATGCCGCACACAGCGCGTTCGTCAACACTGGCACATGGCAGAAGCACTTGCAGCAAAACTCGTCAATACATACCGAGAGCCAACTCGGTACGAACCGTTGCAACCTATTCTCCACTATGCATGTGAAGTACGCTTTCTCTCTGTGTAATGTGGGTAAGAATTGAACATTTGTTTGTAAAGCAACGTGGCTTCGACTGGAAAAGGGAGCCACTGTAGATTACAAGTTACCGTAACATACATTCATGCCGATATTTTAAAAAAGGGATTTGAATTATATTCCATTGTAGTGCGTGTGGAATATTCCACCTCCGCATTATATCGGTGATAAACATATGGAGATTTATCCCCGTCACAGGAATATAGAATATCGCTTAGGTGCCAGAGATGAGCACCACACAATGGTCTGTGTGTACAACAAGGAGGCACTATTTGGCAGCGTAGAATTTGGCATTTATGATTCGATAATATATCTCGGGAAAGAGCACATGTAATTTTCTGCAATCATCTCTGAGGCAGCTGTTGTCACTAATAAGGTTCTATGGTTTACCAAGTCGATATCCAGTGTGTCATCGAAGTAGCCCATGTTCTCGTTGAGGTCTTCAAGTCGGCTCTCTGATGACATCATCACGTCCTCCACGATGGGCTCTTCATCATCCTCCATCAAGTTGGGACCACGTGCACTGCGGGAATTCAGTTAAAGCACGTGTAAAATGTCACCCAGATAGAAAGGGACGGAGAAGCAAAGCAGCGGCAACTAAAACGCCATCGTGCACGCGTGGGTTTGCATTTGCGATGTGCTGTTGCACAAACAAAATTCGGTGGACGCAAAAAATCTCTCGAGTGTGGGCAGTGTGCTGGGAGTGACGGCGAAGGTACACACACGGGCGGCCGGGCGTTGGGCTTGGCGTAGCTGATGACGGAGCGCTCTCGCCGTTTTCCGTCGTCCACGGTAGCTGGCCGCTGCGGGTCTATCCACGACATCTGCGCGCTGCGCGTGGCATCGTGCAAAGGTAACATTGTGAGTGCGTTGGGTCGGCATTACTGCAGTGATATGCATGATGTTAAAGTAGTCTCGGACAAGAATATTTGCTGCTGAAATGGTATGACGACAGTGCCATCACATTCACAGTAGAGTAGCTAACTTAGTTACAATGTGCCATGCTTATACATTTTAGTCCTTGGAGCTGGGTTTGGTATTTGCATGAATTGGTTACTCGGCTGAAATGTTACCCGAAATTAAGTGGTTTAGCTACAGGTGGCTGAAACCTATATTCAAACCAAGAATCTTGGCTCTACTTGCTGAGCATCTCTGGTGCAACCATTTAGAACCCCCTAAGAGACATCCAGCCAGGCTTACGCACGATGTCAGCTACATCCATTATGAGAAACCTGACCCAGAAACACCGAGCCCCCATTTCCTGAGCAGAGAATCTAATTCGTGTTGAATCACGATGTACGACACGGACATTTGACAAAAGGTCAGCGTTCAAAGATGGAAACCGAAGTACCAAGAGCTGTTATCGTACAGATACGTGTATGGGCTGTGTGTCTTGGGCTGTCAAAAAGTCTTTAAAGTATGTACAAATGCATTACCATGGCAACCTTATTGATTTCACTCTGACCATTAATAAAGACAATGCAGTGTTGTCACTTGAATGTTGAGACAGCTTCTGACCGTGATTTTAATGTCTTTTTATCTCACGATTGAAGCTTCAAACTTGTACGCACGCAGCAAAGCATTACCCGGATAGAAAAGGAATAACTTTGCTTCTCAATTGTACCTTGAAGTCATTCCCTCATAAGCCAATTTTAACACCAATATATTACAGTTACATTTATTAAAATGTAACTGCATTACATACTGTACTGTTTATATTACTCATAATGAGCCAAGAATGTCTGTCTGTGTGTAACGCGCGTGACGTCACTCCACGTCG